AAAATCCTTGCCTCCAAGGAGAAACGTGGTTTCACCATCTTCAAGACAGATTCATTTGTTCTCGTTGTGATCCATGGTATGTTCAGTTCTCTTCTGAAGCACCATAACTCAAAGGCATTGATGCTTCTTTTGTCATCCTTAGGCACTGTCCAGCTCTCAGATGCAAAGCAAATACGTGAAAAGATCATGACCTGAATCAGGTGCATCTTTGTCTTCAAAATGACATCATTGCTTCTCAGTAATTTAACAGGGTTGTATTTTTTTCACCTTCATTATGCAGTCTGTATGCTGAAAAATTATCAGGGAAGCTGGACTACATGGAGAAGAATGTGGCATCAGAAATGGAGAATATTCATTAATAATATGCTGATGATACAACTATGCTTAGCGAAAAATGAAGATGACTTTTAAGCTCTTGCTAGTGAAAATCAAAGACTACAGTCTTCAGCACGGATTACGTCTACAACATTATGTTTATTTATAGAAAACAAAAATCTACAACTGGGCCAATAAGCAACTTCTTGATAAGTGGAGGAGAAATAAAAGCTGTTGATTATTTCATTCTACTTGGGTTAACAATCAATGACCATGGAAACAACTAGAAAGAAATAAATGTATTACATTGAAAAAAAATCTGTTGTCACATTCATGATTATTGCTTCATTATTCACAGTAGCAAAGAGATGGAAGCATCCTAAGTGCCCATCAACAAACAAATGAATAGAAAAACTTTGGTACATTCACACAATGGAATATTATGCAGCATTGGAAAAACAATAAACTTGGAAAATATTACACAACATAGGTGAGTCTGGAAGACATTATGCTGAGTGAAATATCTCAGTCACAAAGGACAAACACTGCATAACCCTGCTGTTATTAAAATATGACTGACATGGAGGTGAGGGTCGGGGGAATGGGAAAAGAATGGATAGATAGTGGACACTGCATTGAACAGATGAGGGGAAGAACCGTCTGAAAGGAATATATGATTAGGCATTCTACATATGACAACAATCTGTAACAAGAGGTACATTGCAAGGCAGGCTAGGGGAGGAGGAAGGAATGGGGAGGGAAGAAAATGTGGAGCGTTGAATGGATAAAATTTTTTTTTAATGAATAATTTTTTTT